AATGGGGCCATTTTTTCCGGGGCCATTATTTCCGGGGCCATTTTTTCCGGGGCCATTATTTCCGGGGCCATTTTTTCCGGGGCCATTATTTCCGGGGCCATTCTTACCTACATTCATAAAATATAACCCACAAGCTAACACCGACAAATGACCAGATTGACAAGACTCTCATTCGAATGAACGTCAGGCCACCCCACTGATTAATTGGCTTACCACATGATTGCAATAACATCTGTAGCTTGACCACGGTCTCATATTCGCGACAATTCTAGGCCTATAGGTATTGGTTATAAATATTAACCAAGGCATCTTTAAAATTACCTTCATTGCAAAATAAATGTTTGAGTCATACCAAGGTGGTTTTGTACCTCCTTGGTCATACCATACCATAATTTCTGTTTTGTCGTCTTCGTTTTATTCAAACACCTTCATGAGATCAATAGAAATCACTTTAGTATTCAATCTATCAGTGTATAAGCACTATATAACTATCTGTGCTCTCGTGTAGACATACGATCGAATTTGATGCAACCTTGACTGGATTTCTCATATAACTTGCATTGGATAGTAGTGATTGTCAGAACATACTTTTCCCAGGTAAAAATTCCCATTGAGACCAGTTGGGATTTCCAACTGGTCTAATGGGTTTCAACTGGTTCAATTGGTATTTTGAATGCCAGGTCCAATGGGTTTCAACTGGTTTAACTGGTATTACTCAACAGGTCCAATTGGTATGTTCAATGGATGTATTGGTTTCAACTGGTCCAATTGGTTACCAAATGGGACTCAAAGTTTCAACTGGTCTAATTGGTATCACTCAATTAGGGCCTGTTTGAGCGAAAAAATATCCTTGCGATTTACCAGTTAATTCACCGGTACACACTTTCTAAAACCGCTCGGACACTAGTCTAAATTACCTTACCATCTGGATTATCCGCGACAATTTTGACCACCAAATTACTGGGTAGAATACCGTGTATGGAATGACCATGGAGCCGGAGGCGATGATAAATCGACCTTAATTGTTTTTTGAAATGTTTTGTCCACAGCCCAGCGCGAAATTCAATAGGTTACGGCCCAGGCGTAGTTGCAGCTCTTGCCTCCTCACACAATGCACGGCGAAATCTAAATTTAGTAGCACAGCTACGCGTTCGATTTGTAGATTTACCATTATTCGGAGAAATAAACTTGAATAAACTAGCCTACCTACAGATTTTAAAGCAGCCATTATAAGTTATTGAGCTAAATTATCGTTCCACCGTGCCACGCTGTGTGTACGTGGGCTGGTTATGTAGCAGCAGTAGCAAGTAAACAAAGAATGGGTTGTAGACGAGCTTGGTTTGCTAAATGTAAATGACAGAGTTATCCAATTAAAATTAAACCATGTATATAAAATAGCCAATTCTATAGGACCAGAGTATCTTAATACACATTTTACCAAAGTTTCCGAAAGGCATAATTACAATACGAGACAAAGGAGAATGAACTTTGTAAAACCTAAAATAACCAGTCAAAACAGTAAGACATTCTATGTTACGGCTATACAAGAGTGGAACAAACTACCCTATATGATCAAGTCTTCATCTAGTTTAAATATATTCAAGAAAAGATTAAAATTATATTTAGCAGCAAAATCGAAAATGACAAACAATCAGTAAACAGTTTTAACATATAAATATGCTTTAAACATAAACATAATTTTTTTGTGTAATCTTATTCATACCGCTTGGGTTTTATTTCTTTTATTAGTTTTACTTTTATTAGAAATTTTAAAGGTTGTTATAAATTTTCAATGTTTGTTTTAGTTTTTAACCAACTTTTATGTATTTGTTTTCATTTAAGGGACCCCAACAAAAATAAACCGATTCGGTTTTTTTGGGTTATCCTGAGCTGTAAATGTTTTACTAAATTATCTTTTTATTGTTCATTGTTTTGTTATTTGTAATGTGTTGAATTATGCTCAAATAAATTTGAATTGAATTGAATTGAATTGAATTGACCATGGGATAAGTTATAATTTACTTCCGGAATAGTTTCATTACACGTATTTACCATGAGCTAAAACTTGCTCGAACGGTTGACCACACGCTGAGTGCTTAGCACGATTACCCAGTGAAATAAACGGAATACGGTTGGCGTTTTTTGCTTGAATGGGCCCTTAGCGTCCAATTGGCCTCAACTGGATACAGCTACTAGGCCTACTAAATAAATGCCCGGGCCGGGGTGATGCACAGGGTCCGAGGAATGATATGATAAAGATGATTAACAAATTAGCTTAATTATTATTTATTATTATTATTATTATTATTTATTTTAATTATTATTAATTAATGGCATTAATCAATTATTCATTTATTATAATTAATTATTTCTATACGACATTGGAATTATACATTGGTATTAGTATTATATCATCCTCCATGTGGTAGTGATTAGCACATTCCAGGTTCCCGACCCCCCTCCCCCAGCGGAGTGAATGACATCATTATATGCCCTAAAGTCACTGGCCACTCCTTTAACCTTACGGAACTGACCAATGAAAACCTAGGATCTACATTCAAATTCACTTGTTTGTACCAGTGGAGCTTGTCTACCAATTGTAAGACAAAAATCTGTAATTTTAAGATTAAAAAATACAACAATAATAGCTGGTTTGCTCACTGATAATACTGCAAAGCAAAGATAATTCGTTGATGCAAGACTTAATATTCAACACAACTTGATTGATTGTAAAACAGCCTTCACAAGCATGCCTCACTCAAGGACAATCAGTTGTTTAATGGGTCATAGAGTAAATCTTCAGTAACATACACTTTATTCAACTTTTCCCAACCAGTTGGGTATAGAATGGTTAGCATACTGTAAAGGACTTGTAAAGTTATCTAATGCTATAATAGACCTCATAAAAATATCTATAATTATTGATTTTGCTAACAATGTTTAATTGAATACTTATTACCTTTACATTCCTGTATTGAAGTGCTGATAATGGTGCTACAATGATGTGCTAGTCTCGCCTCACTAACAGTTGGGTTTTTCCCGCTGCTTATTCATTAGTCATATAATATGTTGTAGCTGGGGTCAAGGAGACAACCAACTTCCTGAGACAACCAATAAAATTTTAAATCCAAAAAAATTAAATTTTAGTAATAAAAATAAACCATGCGCATCTGTGTATTTAATGTTGCCTATAATTTTATATTTATAGTTCTGTTGAATTATAAACACATGTTCACATCAGATTATGTAAAAACCATGGACCACGGCATACAAGCTACTACAGAGGCCTCAGGAAATCAGTCCCTGCACATAGCTTGGGAAATCCCAAACACTAAAACGACCCAATGGCAGTTCACTATTGTTCATCAGAGACAATTAAGGCCCTATAAAAATAGTATTGGTTTATCACCCTATCAAGGTTGGAAAAGTGATGAGGGAGGAAGGCTTTTTTTATTTTTTATTTTGCTAAAGCCAAATATCACCCTTGGGGTGTTTGGCTGGTGCATTGATATTCAAAGTAAAACATGATTGAGATAAGACAAACAATATCTACTATTTAATTTTATTTTTAATTTAAAAAAAATTAATTTCAAAAATATATATTTTTTAAAGTATCATAGAAGACATGGCATGAGGGTGATGAACTAATAATTTTTTTTTTGTTATGGAAGGCCATGATATTCATAGATTTATAGTTATTGGTATTTACTTTATAATTAGGAACTTAGAACTTAAGAACAATAAAAATGTTGCATTCATTAATAAATAGTAAGCAGGCAGATACAACATTCAAGTAAAACACAAGAAAGTCTTTTATATTTTATGGTCCTTGTAATTAAACAATGAGACAATGATCAAATATAAATTATATTAAAGTTCATATAATAATTTATTATATATTTCAAACTAGGAGATGAATTATGAAGTCAAAGTAAAATATCATATTAAATGTTATGAAGTGTTATTGATAAAATAATCAATTTACATCACATCCAATGAATCACTTATATATTGTTAACAAATCCGGCTAACTCTGTCCAATTAACAAATCAGTCTTTGCTGGTATTGAAATTTTGTTTGAAGTAAACCAAAACTTTTCAATTTCAAACTAAATTTCAATGCCAGTATATATAAGTAGAAACAAAATTAAGTTATTTGAACAATTCAGTCATTCTTTATTATAACAATGAATTTAAATGATAATATTATTTATTTCAGATTAAGTATTTATAATTTCTAACCTTTTTAACTTACTGTAACCTTGTAATTATTGTGCTATTTGTATTTTCTTATTTTTTGTATGTGTTGTAATGTGCAGTCTTTTTTAAGCAATTGAAACAAAATTGTGTATGTATCATGTTATATGTTACAACAATAAAGTTATCTTGTATCTTGTATCTTAAATATGTGACTTAATTATTATAATATTTAATAAGCATCTTTGTTTTTCTTAATGTCTGTCTTAGAAAGAAGATAAACAAGTATGCGTATTACCATGATATTTTTGTGGGGAAGTGTATGTTTTAACAAAATGAAGAGTTTATCTTCAATGTTCACTAACAGAATTCATATTTTGTTTGGTTCTTTAAAGCAAAATAAAATATATAATATTATGTTATTACAAAATTTCTACCACTGGCTATACAAGAGAGCAGGTAAAAAAGATTATTAGTTTATCACCCTATCAAAGAATAAAAACTGATGAGGGAGGGTTTTTTTTATCCTAAGGCAAAACAACGTAAAATGACATTCAATGGGCCTGTTTCTACTGGAAAGGAAAAATTGATTATAAATTGCTTTTCAAAAAATCGCTTTTTTTCTTGCAGTAGAAACGAAAATAGTACGAAAAAAGTGATTAAAAAACAGCGATTAAAAACACGCAATAGAAAGCGTGTTTGAGCAAATAACTGAGTTTGGCTGTGCATTTTTTAGCAGCAACACAAAAAGCAATTAGGTGAAATGTGTCCTCCAGGTCAAACAGCGATCGTATCACCCGCAAACTTTCAAGTTAATTAGCTCCTTTTGTTCATGTCCTAGGCCTACAAAAAGTTAAAACTAACTTTAATGTAATAAACATGTAACATACATGTGGAGCAACAAAATTACTCTTTTTGTAATTATTTTGTGGGGGGATATATTGGGCCTGGCCTCTCTGCTCTTCTTATGGGTCTACCATTTTCATGTTTCGTTCACTCGTTTGTTGTGCTGATGGGCATAGCCAAAATCATTCATCTTCTCTCCACACACCGTATCTTCCTCCTTGTCATTATAGCCGAAATTAATGTGAAACAACTTGAAGTATATTGTCTTATTGGTGAGAAAAAAAAACTACACATTTTGGAAAATGTGTTGTATAAGCAAAATGGTGGCATAATTTCCGCCGCAAAAACTGATTTTCGTAAAAAGCAATGCAGTTGCAATGCGGGCATTAAAAAAGTGGTAAAAAAAAATTGATTATTTTGTGTTACGCAGTTTCTCTCTCCATTATATCAATAAAACCTTGTCCTGTAGGTCCCGGGTGTAGGCCTAGCCTATAGACTGCTGTAGGCCTATCTAACGATACCAAAGTCTTTGTCATATCCTTCTTTACTCACCGCTTTTTTGTGACATTATATATATTTTTTATTGCCTTTTTTTGTTGATTATGCATCACTTTCATTTTAGTAATTCCACAAAACCTTCTTTGCTCAAGAGTGCAAATCGACCCAGTATCAAATGGAGCTGCCATTTTATCATCGGAGCTAGGGCTCTGAATGATAACGACAACTAGAACCCTTTGTTAATGCACGTCTTGTTGCATTGGAGATTTTTGTCGTCTTGGAGATGAAAAGTACCAGTCAATGATCGTTGACTAGTATTCAATTAACCAATTTTAAATCATCTGACAAGATCTGTTTTCAACCAATCAAATTAATATACATGTGTTGTATAATATAAATACTGTACAGTATTGTATTTTCATTTTCAAGGTTAATTAACACGTGTTCATCACGACAAACTTTACATCTATTTTTCGTTTTCAGCTTTGTACGTCAACATAGCGATTAATTGAAATTTTATTTTCAAAATATTTACGGTATTAAACAAGTATCCATGGAAGTTGTGTTCCACAATCTAGGTATTTGAGAAAGTAAGATCGGCAGGCTTAAAGACATGTTTGTCTCTACCCAAGCTGCTTAGACCAGTGGCTTAGAAAGAGGGAGTTTTATTTCATTATATTTATTATTCAATGAATTATTCACAGTATGAAAGGTAAGCATGTAGTGTATATGATAAGTTGATTACTGCATAAAATAAACCAATCTGTTGCATACCATGCAATTTCAGAAAATGCTTGGGTCTGTGATTGCAAGAGGCAACATATTTATTTGTTTATTTGAGAAGCTGTTTGAGTGTACCGGAATATATTATGAGTTATAACAATAATTTTTTTTTTTTTTTTGCACCCTGGCCGTATTGTGATTCATGTTAAAATGTTGCTAGAATCTAATCTTGGTTCATCCCATCAGAAAATTCCAACATTAAATACATTCAAATGCATTCTAAAGGTCTTGATTTTTTTAAATTTTTTAAATTTTTTTTATTTTATATTTTTTCCCCACTCGGGACAATGCTCCTCAAGTGTTTTACGCGAAAAATTCTGGTACTTCACATTTAGTTTTGCACATCACATTGGTTCTCATGTTCTCTGTTTTTACTTCATTTTATTCCTTTATTGTGATTTTTGTTCTGTAAAGGGCCCAGGAATGAACTTCCACAGATGGAGGGTTTAGACTACCTTAGCCCCCACCATGGTTGAAATTTTATGATTATAGCACCTGTAGACTCTCTGACTTTGAATTTGAACACAATTTTCTTTTTTATTCATTTTTTTTTACATTTTGAAAAATTTAGGATGCCCGGGTCTTTGATGTGATAGGAGAATTCCCGAACGGGCCAGGCAATATCTTGCACTATGCCGCTGGAGGCCATCCTGATTCCCGAGAGACTCCAGCGAGTTGTGGGAGTCTAGGAGCTGTCTTTTTTTTTTTTTTTTTTTTTTTTTTTTTTTTTAGCCATGTTTTAGTCTAAAACCGAAAGATCCACTGATTAATCTCAAATAAAAAAAAAAATTGAATGCACACCACCATGTTGAGGTTCAATATTTTAACATTTATTATGTCATCATCAGAAATGAAAAATTATCCATATTTCAAGCTTATACACAAGTACCAAAATTGTCTATAACCAATTAAAACATTTACCTCTAGTAGGTGACATACCTGTGATTACAGATCAAAATATTCTTGACTCTACTTATAAAAGCTACCTACAAAAACAAAGAAAGCTCCTTTGAAGCATTATAAGCCCATTGTTAGAATTGAACATAGTCTACGTATAGCAATGCTTCTTTAAACAGTAGGTTAGACCAGTTTTGAGAAATGTCAATAATGTTAGTATAGAAAATATTAGACCTATTTTATTATTAATACATTACATTATCATTTTTAAATATACTTTATAAGCCTGAAACATGCCACAGTTTTGTACATGGTCATTTTTCATTTATTTATTTTCCAGAAAGCAAAAAAAAAAAAATAATTGTCAAAAGGAAAAAGAAAAAAAAAAAAACACTGCGAAGACTATCAAAAAAAAAAATAATTGTCAAAAGGAAAAAGAAAAAAAAAAAAACACTGCGAAGACTATCTAACAAGTATTACTAGTAAAGAGAAACAAACAGGGTTCAGTTTACATAAAAAGGCAAACAATGCTGAGATGCAGTCATCAAAAAGAAATAAATCAATCATTTTCTATCAGATCGTGAAGATGTTCTGAAATTCTAGTTATTAAACATATATCTGTCTTAACAATACCGTATATCAATATTACTGTACAGCAGCGGATCTAGGATTAGCAGTGGGGTGGATATAATGGCAGGTGAGAAAGACCAAGGGGGGAGGGGTGGTTTTAGGAGGGGCGTCGCCTCCCATTTGAGATTTGTTTGGATCAGTAAACTGCTAGACGATCTTAGATGGCATCTGAAAAGAAGTAAGCTTAAAATAGAATGTGTATGTTTTACTAGTACGTACAGGAGAAGTACGGTAAATGAAGGAGGTGGCTGGCCATCTTGTACACCCCCTCTAGAGCCGTCACTGCTGCACATAAACTTGGACATTTAAAATGGTAAGCAGCGGAGATTCTCTATTCCATTGGGTTTGATCTTGGTACCCATTCCAAGACATAGATTTCTAATGATACAAAGTTTTAAAATTTATTTGTTTGTGGAAAGCATTACAGTGACATGTAATGGAAATCATCAGGTTAACTAGTACTAGTTAACGTGACACGTGATGGAAACTAGTGTCGATCATCAACAAAATGATCATAAAACTTAATAATTCCTTGTTCAGTAACAATTGAATCTCCTACTTCAATCATTCAAACATTGTACTCCAATTTAGGTTAATTTAGAGTTCAATTCAATTTCAATTCAATTAATTTTATTCCAATATCAATATAATAAATGATAATCAATGAACCTACTAGAATAACAGTTAATAGTTCTACTTTAATTGATGTTATGTATTGTTCTAATACTGATAAAATATCAGATAGCGGTGTAATTCATGTCAGTTTAAGTGACCACTCCATGACATATGCAATCTGGGGAAAAATAAAACATAGTAATACAAAAATAGTTGATAAGCAGAGAAGCAATCAAAATCACATGTACAAAATATGAGATTACTCTAAATTAATAGAAGAAGATTTCCTCTGCGATTTAAACAATATAATCTGGGATGATGTTCTGTCAGCATGTGATGTAAATATAAGTGCCCATCTATTTGAAAAACACTTTAAAGAAATTAAACAAACATGTTCCCTTAAAAAAATGAAGGGTTCGTAAAAAATGTGCACCTTGGTTAACAGATGATATAATGCAATTAATGCGTCATAGAGATAAACTCAAAAGTTTAGCTCTAACCTCAAGTGATCCAAGTAAATGGGCAAGTTATCGTAAAACCAAAAATAAATGTAATACTCTGATTCGCAATAGAAAAAAACATTATATTAAAAATGGTATTGCAGAAAGTAAAAATGATATTAAATCAACTTGGAAACAGCTTCGACATGTAATACCATCTAAAACTAAAAATACCTGTATATCTCTCATAAAAACAGAAAAGGGCCAGTTTACCAAGCCAGCTGAAGACATAGCCAATGAACTTAACACTTACTTCACTGAAGTAGGACCTAAACTTGCAGCTAAAATAGTTAATCCTACTAATGACGATTTTTATAACAATATTCCAAATTTCACTGATCAGTCATTTAATTTTGAACATGTAACTTTTGAGTTTGTTTTTAAATATACCTAACAATAAAGCTACAGGCTGTGATGACATTCCATCCAAATTATTAAAAATTGCTGCGCCTATAATTTCACCAATTATTACTCATATAATTAATCATTTTTTTACCACTTGTATATTTCCATCAAACTGGAAAAAGCTAAAATCAGTCCTATATACAAGAATGGCGATCACGCTGAGCCTAGTAGTTACAGGCCCATCTCAGTTCTTCCTATAATATCTAAAGTTATTGAAAGAGCCGTTTTTAATCAATTTTATTCATATCTTAATACTAATAACTTATTAATTAATACTAATCAATCTGGTTTCCGCCCATCTTATTCAACATCTACTGCCTTAATTAATGTGACTGAAGATTGGTATGAAGAGATAGACAGAGGTAATATCATAGGGCTTTGTATGCTAGATTTAAAAAAGGCATTCGACACAGTAGACCATTCTATATTATTAGGTAAATTAAAACAAGTAAATATACTCTTGATTGGTTCAAAAGCTATTTAAGTGATCGTGTTCAAATGACATGTATTGATGGGGCTCTATCAAACACTAAAAAGGTTCAATGTGGAATACCACAATGTTCTATTATAGGTCCTCTTGCATTTCTTATGTATATCAATGACCTCCCAAATATTGTATCACAGTGTAAAGTTAGCATGTATGCTGATGACACAGCCATATATTATGCATCAAACTCAATCAATGATACCATCGAATGTATTAATAGTGATTTAGAATCTGTATACAAGTGGCTCGTGCAACAAACTTAGCTTAAACATTGAAAAATCTGAGTTTATGTTAATTGGCTCAAGACAACACCTAGCAAGTACAAAAGATGATGATAGGCCTATTTAAACTGTTCAAATTGATGGAAGAAAATTTTCAATTGTAAAATCATGTAAGCATCTTGGAATCATTATAGATGAAAATTTATCTTGGAATGCCAATGTTGAAAATATTCGGAAAAAATCTTTGAAAGGTTTATATATGTTAAAAAGATCCAAACCATACCTTTAACAATCTATATTAAAAATGGTTTCTAATGCTATAATAATCCCTCACCTTAACTATTGCAACATTGTGTGGGGAAACTGTGGCTCAACTGTTTCCAAACAACTACAAACAATCCAAAACAGAACAGCTTGTGTTGTTTGTGGAGCAGCCTGGGACTCACTTAGTAAAAATGTACTTAGTAAATTAAATTGGCTTCCAATTTCAAATAAATATATTAATGATTGTAATATTCTTGTTTATAAAATTTTAAATAATATGGCACCATCTTACTTAACATACTTGTTCTCTTTCAATGATTACAGCTATGACTTTCGTAAAAGTAAAACAAATGTATATGTTCCCAAACCAATGACTAATTACAAAAAAGAAGTATCTCATATCGTGGTGCTATTGAATGGAATAAATTAAGCCCTGATGTTCTGTCTTTCTAACAATTTAACTATTTTCAAAAACCACATTTGTACTAATAATCAATGAAACCAAAGTTTAATAGTATGAACATTGTATAAATTCCTATTTTGATGTTTTCTTGCCTTGTTTTATTTATTTACATTCCTTTTTGTAATTTTCTGTTTACTTTTGTGGAATGGATTTTCTTCTTTTCCATAGTTTATTTTGCCTTTGTTAGGTATAGATTACAGAACTTTTATTTTATTAATTTATTGACTTTGGCATACAGTACTGTTTAATAATTATATTTTGTATCTATTATTTAATTTCTGCATTTAACTTTTGCTTTTTATGATGTACCTTTATGTGTAATTTGTTAATTGTAAATAAGGTATCTCACGGCCATAATGAAAAACAGCATTGTATTTGTTGATTTGTGCTTCGTGAATAAATAAAGTTTTACTACTAAACAATACAATTATCAGCAAAAGAATACAATGGTAGCAGATAAAGGAAAAGGTTACAAAATAAGCAAGAAAAATGCTTTAAATATGTAACCCTGCAAAAAAAATAAATAAATACACATAATGCTACTTCACATTTCAATAAAAATCAAGTGAAATCAGCAGATTTAAAGTACACTTCAGTAAATATATATTTTTATAGTGTAGGCTTCACCATCATTATTTGCCACCGCAACTTTCCGTGGGTGTTTTGAAATTAAGCATATTCCACCAAGATTAGTGATTCTGTCTTCTGGTTTATCAATTCTTTTGATAAACTTTCCATCATTGGAAAAGTGGTGTATTTTTTTTGTACTTATGAGAATGATGTTGTCATCCTCATCAACTACTACTTCTCGAAAACCTGCTATGCCATGCTGGTTACCGTCAACAAGCACTCTCATGAACCTTCCTTCATTATTAAATAGTTGCAATGTATTTTGGCAAAACTTTTTAGGATCTCTCTCTAATGCAAGAATATGTCCTTGCTTTGTAAGTGCAACATCATGGACATTTTTTGTTTTTTTTTCTGGTGACTTTACTTTTCTGATCATTTTGCCACTTTCGATGTCAAACATGTACACACATTTATTTTTCCAATCAGCTACGTACACAACATTTGATGACTCATCCACATGGATCCCAGCTGGATCTCTCAGTATTCCCTGACCAATTGATTTGATTACCTCACCATTCATCTTTACTATTGTGATGCATTTTTTACGTCCTTCATCACTAAATGCTACGTTACCATTTTTCATTTTGTACATAGAAAATATTTCAACACCTTTTGGTAGTGTAACATTGGCAATATATTCTCCAGATTGCTTGTACTTGTACATTTCATTTCTACCACATGAAACCAAAAAGCAATCATCTTCACACAAAACAAGACCAAATAACTTACTTTTTTGGTATATTTGAATGGTATTTACTAACCCTTCTTTCTCTTCAATTATTGGTGACTGCGTGAGTGATTCATTATCAGCACTCACATCACGTCTACAAATACCTGGACTTGTGGATTTTCTTGTCACAACATAATCTCCGTTGTTGTCTTCAAGTTGAGCGACATTGGCTTTTCTTGTTGGATGCGTCCATGTTGCCGCTGGCTGATTTTCATCTAAATCACATTCATTTGTTTTCATTACTTTTGTAGAATTACATCGACCTTGGCTGGCAGATACACGTCGCTTTAATGTCAGAGACTCTGCTGTCTTCATTTGCGTTTCTATTTTACCTATATCATACTTCTGGCATTTGTCTGTAGTGAGTAAAATTAGCCCATTATCTTTTGGCTCTGTCTTGGACGTTTCATTGATTCTATCCTGCAACGCTGCAATAACTGTTTCAATTGATTTCATTGCAGTTGCTTCATCATTATTCAATAACAGATTAAGAAAACACAATTTTATATTTACATCAGATAATATTGCTGTTATCTCATCCACTTGTTCATCATTTACCTGCTTTTTTATTTTATAGACTGCCTCTACTTCTTTTTTTAACTTATTTCCATCCTCCATGACTCTCTGCATTATATCTTGCACACGAGTGTCAATTTCTTTCAAAACAGTACCTCTACATTGATTTAGTTTTGCAGTATTTTCAATAACTGCTTCGAGGCCACATTGTAATTTGTTCTTACAATCATGAGCAGCTTCCTTCAGAGTTGCTGAAGTTTCTTTAAATGTTTTAAATGCTTCTGAAAAACTTATCGTTTTGTGCTTCCCTTCCTTGTGTTCTATTAATGTGCAATGCAAGCATATTGGAGTTTTACAATCTTGGCAGTACAACTCCAAAGGCTTAGAGTGAAGTGAGCACAACAGAGGACTTAACAAAGCAAAATCCTGTGGAGTCATTGAGCGCACATCATACACTGTATGCAGCTTGTGATTTGCCGACAGTGGCAGTATTTTATGATAATCTCTACAAGAAGAACACAAATAATGTCTGCAGTCCTGACAGTAGTATTCCTCTGCTTTTCCACAAATGCATGTCATGATCTGATCTTTTTTATCATATTGTTCAAGAGCTTCCAACAATTTATTAAGAAAGATGTTTGTGGGAAGCGTCTGAAGCCCGCCCTCTGGAATGGGATGTGATTTTGTGCAAGTTGGACAAGTCAGCTTACGCTTCTTCTTAACCCCTTTTTCAAGACAGGCCAAACAGAAACTATGCAGGCATTTGAGGAGTTTTGGATTCTGGATTCTCTTAAGGCATATGGCACACTCTAAGACTTTCTTCTTGTCAATATTATCCAGAAACTGGTTATATTCATTTGTATTAGCCATCTTGATATAGTTCTGTAAGTAATTAATAATGTAAATAATAAATATCTGCCAGGCTTTGGGTTGAGTATAGTAGCATGGTCTTAGGTAACCTGTGGTCACAGCTCTGATGCAGAGGTGACGAATAAAATAATGACCGCCTTAGAACCTGTTTTTGGATTAAAGGCCTTGCTTGAATAATGCCCCTAGCAATAATTTTCTCCTTCGATTATAGGCTTCTCCTCACCCCCCATAATGATTGTAAACAAATGTATTGGAAAAAACATCATTCTCTATACAATTCTTAAATAAGTATTTGAACTTTTATTGAACATTAAAGCACAAATACCAACATGACAATGCTGGAACTCAAAAGGGCAATTGCATTTTTGGAATATTAATTACAGATTGCAGTTCTTCGTACGGAACTGTTGTCACTTTAGCAGTACGTGAATATATAATTAGATGATGAATATGCATTAAGTACAGTATTACAGTTAGTCCAGTTATAACTGTGTTGCCTACATTCCATTATTGTCTAATTCTATTAATGTTGTACTTCAGCGAAACTTTTTACCTGTACTTCAGTTGTTGTTGGTCATTTGTTTGTTTCCATGATAACTGAAGTTTGATAAGTCTGATTGGTTTCAAACTTGGCAGTCTGTTTTTTTTGGAATGTGTGTGAATATACTAAATTTCTCTTTTGCATTATTTAGTATTTCACTAATCAGGAAATTTAGGCTATTTACCACATGATAAGTAAAGTTTGGTTTCAAACATGACAGATTGAAATTTAGTAATAAGAAAACAGATCCGAATGTATTTGGCTTTTGTGTGAATACTAATTGCTTATTGGCAATTATTTCACTGTAATTTAGGCTACCATGTTAACTAAAGTTTGGTAAGTCCAATTGGTTTTAAACTTTTCACAATGTAAGATGGTAATGAGAAAATGAATCTATTGTTTCTGGTATGTGTGTAAATATGTTAATTGCTCATTTGAATAATAAATATTTCACTATAATTAGGTAATTTAGGCTAGTACCACAATAAAGTTTGGTAAAGTCTGATAGGTTTCAAACTTTTCTCAATGCACGATGGAAGTAAGAAGACAGTGCCTATTCTTGTTGGTGTATATGTGAATATGTACAGTATTTGCTCACTTGCATAATTAATATTTCACTAATCAGATAATTTAGGCATATAACTAAAGTTTACTATATCAGATTGGTTTCAAACTTTCACAAAGCAAGATGGTAGTAAAAAAATAGAATCAATATTTTTTGGGTACATGTGTGTCTTGTATCCCTTGGTAAACGGCGTGGTACAAGTTCCTGTATTATTATTTTTATGTGCAAGTATGCTAAATACTTGTTTGCATAATTAATATTATACTAATCAGGTAATTTATGCTAGTTACCATAAACTAAAGATGAATAAGTCCAATTAGTTTCAAACATACTTTACAGAATGGAAGATGGTAATAAGAAGACATTAACCTTATTTTTGTACGTGTTAAATATGATAATTGACCATTAGCATAATTATATTTCACTAATGATGTTATTTAGGATAGTTTCAAACTTGGCAGAGCATGATGGTAATGGTAATATGAAGATGGAGCCTATTGGTTTTGGTACATGTGCAAATATGCTAATTGCTCACATTTGCTTACTGAATTTTTTTGTTCAGGAAATTTACACTAAATACCATTGTGATTCTCCAATAAAATTTCCAATTATTAGTGAAATTGTATTATTTTTTCATGTTGTTGTTGTCATCATTGCTGTAGTAAATTTTTTGTTATGCACAATAACTGAAGTTGTGTCAGTTTGATTTGTTTCAAATTTCTACATAAAAATATCACACCGTGAAGAGGCTATGCTTTTACTGCGCAGCGTAAAAGGAGCATTTCTAGTTGTGTTGTAGTTCAGATAGACAATCCATTTTGCACCAAAAAAAAAAAAAGTGCCTCCCTTGAATTAACACCCTGCCTTGAATAAACACCCTGTCAAAACCCCCTCTCCAATAAATGCCCCAAAACATAAATAATATATTTATAAAATTATAACCTATAGTAGGATCCCGGATCCATAGATTAATGATATATTTAACTTTCAATTTTTATGATAATTATCCAATATAATGGTAATGGTAATGGTTGGAGACTTATATAGCGCATAATACATGGTCTCTATGCGCTCGGGACTAGATGTTGCACTTTACAATAACTTTCTTCTCCCCTAAGGGTCACTTCATGTCTTCAGCAGCCAGTAAACCGGCGCACTTTCATCTGTCCACGACAGGGGCCGAATGAACCAGTAAACCAGGGCAACCCCCTACTCATCTTGAAAGATGTACTGGGTTCTTTAAAGTGAACATGATCATTTGTGTACACTGGGCCTACGGTTTATAGTCCTTATCCGAGAAGACTTGTTCCACCACCAGAACTATAGGAGCGAGCCGGCCACGAACCCGTGCCTATATTGTTGGCTATGATCACGGTGCCCCTGCTTTAACCGCTCGGCCATTTGGCTCACTCGATGCATGCAGAATCACAATAATTACCAAGTAGAATTATTTATTTTAAAAAAAATAAATAATAAAGATTTGGATTGACTATTTTCACACATGACTTAGATCATTCAAATCTTTGTCGTTCAATTCACAGAAACATACACATACATAAATTAATACACTTTAAAAATATTTGTGAGATTTTAAAAATTTTTTCATTTTAAAATTTCGGTTTAGTCAGTAAAATAACCAACAATCTACGATATATCTTCCACACTGTGTTTAAAACAGTACTTACCTTGAACTTATATCTGACACTAATCAGCTGCTTAATAATCCTTCAAGCACTCCCAGTTTCTATTTTGAACAAAGTTAGTATAATGCCAAAAATATTTTTTTTTAAATTGCACAAAATACTAGAAAAGGGTGGAGAGATATTGTCAAAAGTATTCCAAGGCAGCCCAAGTGAAGCCTTTACATGGACTTCTCAGCGACGTCGAGTGTAGTAGTGTAAGCCATGAAGTACCAGTATATTCAATCATCAATTACTGAGTTGGAAATTCCAAAGGAAATTTGTACAGCATTATTTTTGTCAGATTTCCTTATAAACCGAAAGGTCCACTGATTAATCTCAGATAAGAAAGTATAATACATACTCCAAGTATTGAAACACGATGGCGTGTATTTCAATACTTGGAGTATGTATTATACTTCCTTATTTCCTTATAAGTAATGCGTGAGGTCAGGTTCCCCGGGGAGCTCACTTGCATACATTAGGTGTACAAGTCCTTTACAGTATACTGACCTTTCTATAGCCTTGTTTTGACTTCATGAGAACATGGCTTATCTATTTTTATACCTCCATGCTTATACCAAACTGGTTCGTGAAGTCAAATTAGTGTTTGACATGTTAATGAAGATTATGACCCATTTAACAACTGATCGTCCTTGAGTGAGGCATGGTCCTTGTGAAGGCTGCTTTACAGTGGAACTTTTGCTGTGTGAATGTGTGTAATAAATCTTTTTATCACTTAATTGTCATTTATTGTTTACACAGAAAACTTTCAAGCACTCCCAGTTTCAAAGTTAGTATAAGCCACTTCAAGACATGACACTAGCGCTACCTATTTTACTGAAAATTCTTATGGACTTGAACTACCATTTCCCAACATCCTATGTCAACAGTCATAAGTCACAAAATATGTTTAACATCCAATGTTTTCATCTTCACTTGGTAGAGCATTCCAAAAAAACCAAAATAAAACACTCTAAATTTGGTCAAGCTATAGATGTTATTGCAATCAACATGTGGCAAGTCAATTAACAGAAAGTTTTGTCAGATGAGAACCTTGCCAATCCGGTCATTTGTCTGTGTTAGCTTGCGGGGTGAAGTGCTTGTTTTCCATCAGGTGACCCCGTTCATACGGTCGGTGTCAGCTTCATAACAAGCGCTTGTTCGATAACTACGATATCACCGGTGTAACTTACACCGTCGGAACAAGGCTAATGTGTGTTTTAAAGCTATATAACATCTGACACCTTAATCCATTGTTTTAAAATAAAGGAAGCTGAAACAATTGCAGTATTTGCAAATTACCGTAAGTTGTACAGGGTACTTATTTTGCTAGACAACAGCCTATAATTTCACCCAGACTCATTAACACAAATGTTCACTTCACACTCTATGAGACCAACAAGAGGGACCAGGGCACATAAATTCTGCCACACACACACGCACACACACACACACACACATATATAT